CCCTCCCTATCCCCCAGGTCTTCTTGTCCTGTTCCTACAGTAGATGGGTCTCTGAGAAGGGGCCAGAATCTTCCCTTTAGATCCTCAAAGATTTGGAGTGGGTTTTATTTGTGAGCTTCTCAAAGCCCTTTGAAACCAAGTCCATAGCGCTGGGAGTGAAAGCCAGGCAGTGGTGAGTGGGGGCGCTGGCACATTCAGTGGGGAGCAGTCCAGGGTTCCCAAGAGGGACCTAGGGTGCAGTCTAGATGGAAGGCTGAGGATCTGCCTTGAGGCTGCATTTGCATTGAGCGCACCTCACTTTACTTGGGGTATTTTGAAGATGCTGTGGAGATTATGGGGATCAAAGCCCTCCAAAGCTATCCTTGGTGCCAGTATTGGTATCCAGGGGAGGGAATCTAGGCATCTGGCTGTCCTGCCCACTGTCCATGCCAGGGGCTTTGCCTACAGTCCCAGGAGGGAGGAGGGAAAAGCAGAGAGCCTGGGAAAGGAGAGGGAAGCAGAGAGGCCCTGGAGCTGGGGGAAAGGAGGGTCATTGGTATTCTGGGCACTGAGGAGTTCCTGGCTAGGCAGCACTCAAGGCCCACCCCCTGGCATCAGGCTGCACATTCAGCATCCACAGCCCTGGCCAGTAGGCCTTCTGGGCTCCCAGCAACGCCTGCATTTTGCACATTGGTTTGCATGACTGGTAATGTCCCTTCACAGTGCCACCCGCACCCCACCCCCACCTCAGGTCTAGAGATTTCCTGACTTGCTTTGCTTAACCCATGATTCTGCTGTCTAACCTCCATCCTTCCAGCTGCAAAGTCAGCTCCTCCTCTGTGCAGGGAGTGGGAGCACTACAGGAGCCAAAGCCCAATCATAGCTGCCTCCAGGGAGGTAGCTACGGGCATTTGCACTCCATTCTACCTCCAGAAAAGAGCTTCCCATTTTTATTAGGAAGGGTGCCTCTTTTCAGGAGCAAAGCCCCCATTCTCCCTTCATCCACTTCCTACAGTCTAATTGAATCCCTCCTCCTTCTTTGACCAACGAGAAGTCCCTCTGGTTGTCCAACTTCCACCTCTCCAGCTGCAACATCGTCATCCTCTAGCTCAGCGAACGCTCCCTCCCCGCTCCTCCTGCCCCCACCCCCCCCCCACCCCCAAGCCCTCGGCTTCTCATCCGCTGAACGATGTCCTACTTCGCTCGTCCTTGCTTTCGCTGCTGCCGCCGGGAGCCAACGCAAAGAAGGCAGCGGGTCCCGTGACCGTCCCGAGCCCCCGCGCTCCCGACCAGGGGGCGGGGGTGGCCCCGAGGAGGGCGGGGCAGGGGCGGGGGGAAGAAAGGGGGTTTTGTGCGGTGCCGGGAGGGCCGGCGCCCTCTTCCGAATGTCCTGCGGCCCCAGCCTCTTCTTGAGCTCGCGCAGTCCCCGCCGCAGTCTCAGCTACAGCTGCAGGACCCAGACGTAGACCCGGAGGAGACCCCCGGAGGAGGCTACAAACTTCTCAGTGCCGCGCCCCAACCCCAGCCCTGGGTAGGTGAGTGCCTCCGCAGCCCCGCCGCCCGCCCTGGGGTCGGGGACAGAGAGAAGGGAGTGCCCGCCTGGTCTGCGCCCCCCGCCTGTCAGCCCTTGCCTCGAGGCTCTGGGGCACCCAACTCGTCGACTCCTGACACCGCAGCGGGGTAGGCTGCCGGACAGCCCCGAGCTCCCGCAGCTGCTGCTGCCATCTCTGATCTACACGCTTCCAGCTCTGCCAGTGGCAGCCCCCCTGCTGCTCGCAGTCTGATCAGCAACCCCTCGGGTCCTCGCGTCTTCCCTGCTGCGCGCTCCTGTCCCAGCGCGGCCCCCTAGATTTCCGACCTTGTCCCAGGCAGGGCGGTAGCGGTCAGAATCAGTCCCTGCCTCCGTTCCCCACGCTGCAGGCAGCTCCAGGAGCAGCGGCCAGCAACCCTTCTGGGGACACCTTACTGTAGTCCGGCAAGACAGCCGATCAGAGCCGCTCTAGGAGGTGGTCGGGGTGCCCATTTCGGCTGGAATCCCAACTCGGCTCCTTGCTCTGTGACCTTGGGGTAGTTAGTTGACTTCCCTGAACCTCGGGTTCCTCATTGGTGTAATGAGCAAAATATAAATAATCTTTTTCTCACAGTTGAGGCTATCCACAGGAAGCATTTAGGAGAACTGGCTCAGGTAGACATTAGTAATATTCCAGCTATTAGCTGGAATTCCGTTACCACTATTGCATTCCTTCCTAGCACTGCCAGGAAGTCCAATTCCCAAGGGCCTGGGAATTCCCTCTCCCAGGAATTTCCATATCCTGTATTCCCCCACCTATCAGAATAGCTCTGCCTACATGGTTCTAACAGGACCAAGAGATTGGCATCAATTCTGAGGGGCACCATTATTATCTGCATTACTTATATTGCAGATGATAACAGTAAGATCAGGGAACAATGTTACCCATAGACCCACCCACAGTATTACCAATGCCTATGTTGTTATGGCTAACTTTGCTATTTATGACAGCATCATCCACATTTCAGACTCTATACGAGAGGGATCTGCAACAGCTTGGCTGGTGACATTGCTAATAGTATTATTAGTTGTGCTTCCAATAAAAAGGACTATTTATATGATAATTGCAATTACTCCTACAGGCCCTAAGGCCCCGCTGATATCTTGTAGGCTCATGTTGCTCCTCATGAACCTGCTAAGGGGGTAGCAGAGAGCTTCAGTCCTGCTATAGCCAAAGCTCTGGCTTCTTTGGTGCCTCCCTGCTGACCCTGCTGAGTGCTGGAGCTCAGTTCCTATGGGACAGGCCTTGGCTGCCAGCTGATGGGTGTTCAGCATGGAGGTGATGGATGTGCATGCCTACACACACACACACACACACACACACACACAGAAAGAGAGAGAGAGAGAGAGAGAGAGAAAGAGAGAACCTGGTCTTAACTCTCTGGGTTGGGTCTACGAAGACTGTGAGTGAGATGGACATCCAGGATCAGACAGAAACGATGTGACAAGAGGAAAGTTCCCTGAACAGCTCAAGAAATTCAAAACAAGGGCAGAGATAAAGAGGCTGGAGCAGAAACAGAGAGGGGGATGTTATGGCATCAAGGGAAGGGACAGCATGACTACTGAGCTCTCAGGGTTAGAGACGGAGAGGTGTGGCCTGCTCTGGAGGAAGAGAAGATGAAATGGAGGTGAGTGGTGTGTGGGATAGAGAAGGCCACAGAACCCTGGACCCCTGGGTTCCGAGGCTGGTACCAGATGTGGGGAAGTCTGAGTTTCCTCAGGGCTCCTAGCTGCACCTGGGAGGCTGAGGACTGAGACTGGAGAGACAGAGCTCTCTGAAAACTGCACGGGGCTGCCCTCTTGGCATCACTGGTCAGTGACTGCCATTTTTGGGGTCAAGGGTAGGTTGCCCTCCATGTTCCAGAGCAGTTAGGTCCTCATTGGCCTTAGACCCTCTTCTATCACTCTCCCACTGTCAGAACAGAGGTGAAAGAGTGGTACAGGGTGTTGGCCCCAAAGTGACTCCAACTATATGGGTTTCTGGGCCGCCTGTCAGAGAGATGGGAGCCAGGTCTGTGAGCAGCTCCAACTCCAGCTCCAGCCCAGAGAGAAGGGAGGGAGGGCGCCAGAAGGGGGCCGGGCCCAGGCCTTGGCACAGCTCAGATGCATGGCAAACAGTCTTCCCAGCACCCGGTGGGCACTGGCTGCTCATGCCCAATGGTCCCCACTCCAGCCCCAGAACAGTCCTCTCAAGCACCCCCATGCCTGGAGCTGGTTTCAGCACCTCTAATCTGGCCCCATCAAGAACCTCCTCCCTCTCAAAGGTCAGAGGGAGGCCCTAAACATCTGATTGTGCCACCCCTCTCCCAACTCTGACCCTAGGAAATGATACCAAGACACAGTGGGGGAGATGGAGGTTATGATGGCAGGGAGGTGGGAGGATCTGGGGAAAGTAGGAAATTTCCCATCAGCTCAGGCTTAGGAAAGTACAGGGGCAGGTATGAAGGCAGAGGCTGAGAGGGCAGGGAAGATGGGGGATAAACAGTGGGCCTGGAATGGGAGTGCACAGCCAGTGGAATAAACCTGATTTCTAGGAGTCCTGCCTATAGTCTAACCTTCAATTCTCTTGCTGCATCATTGGCCTATTCCATGGCAGACCTGGATCTCCATGCTCTTCTAAGTTTAGCCCAACCCTTATCGATGATGTAGCTCTGAGCCTTCTCTCCTGGGAGCACATTGCCCTCGTGCCTGACTTTTCTTTGCTAGGGATCCAGGGTCAGCCCTATCCTTCTCTGAGCCTGAGTCTCCATTTCTCAATGTCATGCCACATCCTTTTTATGACAGTGTAAGCGCTTCGAGGAATATTCTGGGTTCTACAGCTTCTGATAGCCAGGGGTAGGAAGGGGTAGCCCCTCCCATTTCTTCTCACCCCTCTTAGTCCACCCTCCAGCCCAAGGCTTTCACAAAAGGTAGGGTGGGGGAAGGGAGGGGCTGGACAGAGGCCAGACTGGCAGAGACAGGGGCTTTGTCCCAACTGATTTCTGAGCCAAGAGTTCCGGTGGGAAAGCCCGTGCCAGGCAGAAAGGAGAGGCTGGGAAGAAGAAGGGAGGAGGCAGCCAAGGAAGGGGGATGGAGAATGCTGGGGAGTAAAGAGAAGAGTTTCCTTACAAATAATGGTGGGGAGGAGGTAGAGGAGATGGTGAGCTCAAGAGAAGTTGTGCTTACTTGTGTTCAGTCTAGAAGGCCCTCCTGGAAAAGGCCAGGTGAGTATGAGGTCCATGGAGGCAGGAACCGTCCAGAAGGCAGGAAAGGCTAGAGAGGCACTATGGGAGAAGGCTCTGGGTTCAAGGAAGGAGTCTGGCACTGGGAGGAGCAGACAGAATTCTGAGTATAATAGCACCCACCATTCATGCTATATACTGAGCTCCTACTGTGTGCCTGGTGCTATACATTTGTACAGGAGTTTTAAGATACAAAACACTCTCAAAGCACATGGTTCCATTACAACTCATGAGGTAGTAATGATGATGCTCTTTTATAAATAAGAAAATGAAGGCCCAGAGAAGGTAAGGAGCTGGCTTAGGTCACACAGTGAGTTGACTAGGACTCAGGTCTTGGTTCTGAGAAGGAATCCCTTGGTGGGAAGATGGGGATCAGAAACAGAGAGTCCCTGGTGATGTGAAGGTCGGGGACTTCTGGAGCCAGGATATGTGTGAACCCACATGGGTGTAGTAGGGAGCCGGGGGAAGTCCATCTTGAAGTCTAACCCCATCTTTCTTTCTCATGTCCTTCTGTCAGCCTGCAGCATGGCCCAGCTACTCCTGCCCCTGCTGGCAGCCCTGGTCCTGGCCCAGGCTCCTGCAGCTTTAGCAGATGTTCTGGAAGGAGACAGCTCAGGTAAGTAACCCCACTTGGGGTCACCATCTCTGTCTTGTTCAGTCCTAACCAACTGCTTCCAGGCTTAGGGGCCCCAGAAAGAGAGAGTATTGGGAGGGTTGTGGGGAAGAGTCCAGGCTGGAACACTTGGAAATAAAGGCTGAGCTGTGAGCATCTGGTAGATTGGAGAAATCATGGGGCAGGACTAGCGAGGGGCACTGGGTGCAAGGCTTTGGGTCCCTAAGGTGGAGGATAGGGGATCCTGGAGCTAGCAGGTGGGAAAGGGGTGGGACTGGGAGAAACCCTGAAGGAGGCCTTAAAGGGAGCAGACCGGGAAACTGGGCTGGAGGACTCAGGGGGTGAGGTTGGAGGACCCTGGGGTGTGGTCTAGGAATTTTGGAGAGGAAGTGGAACACTCTGAGAGCAGGGCAAGGAATCCGGGGGCAGAATTGACTGGGAGACTTTGGGGGATGGGTTTGGAGACCGTGATGGTCCTGGAGGACCCAGAGGTAGGGTTGCAGGACCCTGGCCCCTGGTTCTAGAGGGGCCGGGGAATCCTGGGGCTGGAAGGAGGGATCCTGGATCGGGGCTTGCAGCCCACCGGGTGGGACTCTGAGGGTCTACAGCGTTAAGTTCTAGCCGGCTCCACCCGTTCACAGAGGACCGCGCCTTTCGCGTGCGCATCTCCGGTCACGCGCCACTGCAGGGTGTGCTTGGTGGCGCCCTCACCATCCCCTGCCACGTCCATTACCTGCGGCCGCCGCCGAGCCGCCGGGCAGTGCTGGGATCTCCGCGGGTCAAGTGGACTTTCCTGTCCGGGGGCCGGGAGGCAGAGGTGCTGGTGGCGCGGGGAGTTCGCGTCAAGGTGAATGAGGCCTACCGGTTCCGCGTGGCACTACCTGCGTACCCAGCGTCGCTCACCGATGTCTCCCTGGCGCTGAGCGAGCTGCGCCCCAACGACTCAGGCATCTATCGCTGCGAGGTCCAGCACGGCATCGATGACAGCAGCGACGCTGTGGAGGTCAAGGTGAAAGGTGAGAGGGCAGGGAGGTTCCCAGAGGGAGGGAGGGAGGGAAGGGAGGAGTCTTGCCCTCCGGGAGCCCACAGTGTGAGAGGGAAGCAAACGTAGCTGGAAGGCGCAGCCTGGGTTGGAAAAAGAGTGAGGAGACACAGGCCTCCTTTCTCTCTTCAGGTAGAGGAAATTCTCCCCACCATCTAACTTAAGTCCCTCATGCTGTAGAGTGAGCACAATTGAACTTTACCCCTGTGTACAGAGGAGTGACAAGGAGGGTGAGGGGAGGCCAGAGTGCTGGGTGCTCACCTGGCTCCGGGGTCCTCTCTGCCCCACAGGGGTCGTCTTTCTCTACCGAGAGGGCTCTGCCCGCTACGCTTTCTCCTTTGTTGGGGCCCAGGAAGCCTGTGCCCGCATTGGAGCCCACATCGCCACCCCGGAGCAGCTCTATGCCGCCTACCTTGGGGGCTATGAGCAATGTGATGCTGGCTGGCTGTCGGATCAGACCGTGAGGTGGGCAGGGGCTGTGGACTGGGGCTTCTATTTGCCCCTGAGGTGGCCATGGCCCCTCTTCTGCCGGGTGCTGCCTGATGCATCAGGCTGGGCACGCAGGGCTCTTTGCCTCTGGGGGATGAGGCTGGTCTGAGGAGGGGAGGTGAGGACCCTGAGCATGTGCATCCCTGTAGAGCTAGGAGGACAGCGAGCTGTCAGCAAGTGGCTGCACTGTGGTGGCAGTGGGGTTCAGTAGAGTCAATATGGGCTGGTTCCCTGGTGAAAGCATCTGTACTAAGTGATTCTGTCCTTCCTCCCCAGGTATCCCATCCAGACCCCACGAGAGGCCTGTTACGGAGACATGGATGGCTTCCCCGGGGTCCGGAACTATGGTGTGGTGGACCCGGATGACCTCTATGATGTCTACTGTTATGCTGAAGACCTAAATGGTGATTAGGAGTGAGAGGTTCCCAGGGGACAATCTCCTACTCCCCATGCTGCCCATAGGTCCTCCCAGGGCCTCGGCAGGACTTTACTATCCCTCCTAAGTTTAAGGGTGCAAGCAGGAGTAAGGAGAAAATTGGTGTCCTTCTCTCCAAACACTGTCACAGAGGCAAGCTCATGATCAAAGTCTCAGCCAGGTGGCAGGATACTGAGTTTAACTCATCTACCACCTGCTGGGTGGACTCTGTGCATGGCTTTGCAGAATGAGAAGTTTGGGCTCCATCTCTTTGAGCTCTAATGTCCATCTTGAGGTTCTATTCTGATTTTGATCCTAGAGTAGTTGACTCCCTGCCACAGATGAGGGAACTGGAGAAGCTTGCCCAGGGTTCCCATGGGAGACCAGAGTGGAAGGAGCTACCAGCTGCCTGGTAACCCAGTCTTCTCTTCTCCACCTAGGAGAACTGTTCCTGGGTGATCCTCCAGAAAAGCTGACATTGGAGGAAGCACGGGCGTACTGCCAGGAGCGGGGTGCAGAGATTGCCACCACGGGCCAGCTGTATGCCGCCTGGGACGGTGGCCTGGACCGCTGCAGCCCAGGGTGGCTGGCTGATGGCAGTGTGCGCTACCCCATTGTCACACCCAGCCAGCGCTGTGGTGGGGGCTTGCCTGGTGTCAAGACTCTCTTCCTCTTCCCCAACCAGACTGGCTTCCCCAACAAGCACAGCCGCTTCAACGTCTACTGCTTCCGAGGTGAGCCCACCTCCCTGCAGAAGCTGAGACCAATCTCAGAAAGGCAAAGTTGAGCCCTAAAAATCCTACCCTAGTCTGATCAGTTTAGCTCAGGGCTTTGCCATTTGCCTGAAGGGGTCGTGGGTGAAATCCAGCTTGTCATCTAGGGTTCTAAATCTGGGCATGCCCTCTGGTGTGGTGTCTGTCAGCTGTTTGGCCCAAGGAGTGCTCACCTTTTGGCCTCTCCTTATCTGCCTTCCCACCAGTAGTCCATGCGTTGTTTGCTCCAGCTGGGCTGCTGAATAAGCTCCCATTTCCTGCAGCTTATTGGCAGAGCAGAGTTGACCAACATTCTGTGAATTCAATGAGTAATCTGCTCAAGTTCTTCCGGTCAACAACCAAATGCCCTCAGGAGCCCTCTGGAGGATTTCCAGAAACTACAGTTTAAGAAAGTGTCAGATCTTTAACTACCAAATACTGGTGGATGGACTCAATTCCCTGTAAAGGGAGCAGGACCTTAAGCACAGTTGGGAATAGAGATAGCTTTCTGCCCACGTCTTATGGTTTGTTTTCGGGTTTTTTTGAGACAGGGTCTCACTCTATTCCCCAGGCTGGAGTGCAGTGGTGCGATCATGGTTCACTGTAGCCTCAACCTCCCTGGGCTCAAGGGATCCTTCCATGTCAATCTCTGGAGTAGGGGGGACCACAGATTTATGCCACCATGTCTAGCAAATTTTTGTAGAGATGGAGTTTCACCACATGCCCAGGCTGGTCTTGAACTCCTGGGCTCAAGCAATCTGCCTACCTTGGACTCCTGAAGCGCTGGGATTTATAGGTGTGAGCCACTGCACCCAAACCTGCCCATATCTTATGTTGGGAGCTGAGGGGGAGGCAGTTTCTGGGACCCTCAGAGGCAAAAGGCCGAGGCCAAGGGTAACTGACAATAAGACAGGCATTGCCATGGGGTGTCTGGGTCCTTCCCCAGTTGTAAGCCTGAAATGCTGTTACAAGAGCTGGAAGCAGAAACGGAAGGAGCAGACACAGCCTTCACCCTAAGGGAGCACTTGGTCTGAAGGATGAAGACACAGCTTTTGCCATGGGAACCCCCAGTCAAAGGGAAGACAAGATGCTTCACTCCCGGGATGAGGAGAGACTGAGAGAAAAGCATTACTACCATTGGGACAGATCTGTGGACATATCTGGCTGGGGGCTGGGGAGGGGTGGGCAAGTAAAAGTCCATAGGAAGACAGGTCCATCTGAAAAGACCTCCTGGAACAGGGGTAGTAGTAGTAGTAGTAGTAGTAATAGTAATAGCTAAAACTTCTGTGTACTGGCTATGATTGTGTGCCAAGCCAAGCACTGTTTTGGAAAGAAATGGCCTGGATCATGAGGAGGGTCAGGGGAGCGGGAATATGACTACAGTTGGGACACAATTGGTGGATGACAGAGGCAGCAAGGACACAAGGTCTGGTGAGGAGTAAGGCTCACTGGAGCAGGTGATAAGGGCAGGGACTCACTGTCCTGTCTTGCCTGGCTGAGCACAGACGGCCTTCAGGGCTTTTCTTAGCCCAATTCCACCTTCACTTCATTGGTGTTCTGCTCTTGGCTCCCTTCCCCAGAGGACAAGTAAACCATTCTAAACTTCTGGTTATTTGAAGGGAGTAGGTCCCAGAAGGAGGTGGCCCTTTCCCTAGCCTACTTGCCCCACCACTGAGATCTTCAGGTAGTGCCTGAAGTTATTCCTGCATTCTGCCCTCCAGCTATCCTGACAAAATGACAAGCCTCTCCCCTCCTATTTCAAGAATTTTGGAGGCTGGGTGCAGTGGCTCATGCCTGTAATCCCAGCACTTTGGGAGGCCAAGGTGGGTGGACCACTTGAGGCCAGGAGTTCAAGATCAGCCTGGCAAACATGGTGAAACCCTGTCTCTACTAAAAATACAAAAATTAGCCAGTAGTGGTGGCGCATGCCTGTAGTTCCAGCTACTTGGGAGGCTGAGACAGGAGAGTCACTTGAATCTAGGAGGCAGAGGTTGCAGTGAGCCGGGATTGTGCCTCTGCACTCCAGCCTGGGTGACAGAACGAGACTCTGTCTAAAAAATAAAAGAATTTGGGGATGGCTGGGACCCCTCACACCTTGCCCCAAGCCCAAGATCCCAAAGTACTAAAGCTGTTTCATCCATCTTGCTGGCTCCAACCCCTCCCCCTAGGGAATATCTCTCACTTGAGCCTTTCCTGACCACTCCAAAGTAGTACTTTCCATCATTCTATCTTCTGACTCTGCTCAAGTGTTCTTTATCTTGTAACATTATAATATATGTTTGTTTGTCGTCTGTTCTAGAATATAATTTCCCTTGAGGGTAGGAGGTTTGCTGTTTTGTTCTACACTGTATCCTCAGTGCCCAGGAGAATGCCTGGCATGACACACAGTAGGCACTTGATGAATGCTTGAGAAATGAGTGATGAAGTTCTGGGATGCTCCCTGCGCCCCAGTAGGTGCTCCACTGGGAAGATGTGAGAGAATTGAGAGAATTCCCTGGTGCAGGTTGTGACCTGGGAGGGCAGAGCTACCTATTCAGCCTCGCATCAATACTTTCCTCCTGCCACAGACTCAGCCCAGCCTTCTGCCATTCCTGAGGCCTCCAACCCAGCTTCCGACCCAGCCTCTGATGGACTAGAGGCCATCGTCACAGTGACAGAGACCCTGGAGGAACTGCAGCTGCCTCAGGAAGCCATGGAGAGCGAATCCCGTGGGGCCATCTACTCCATCCCCATCATGGAAGACGGAGGAGGTGGAAGCTCCACTCCAGAAGACCCAGCAGAGGCCCCTAGGACAGTCCCAGGTAACTCAAATCCCTTATCCTAAGGACGTCTTGATTGAAAGAAGTTGGGGGCAGAAGAGGCAAGCCTAGGTTGATGCTCACGTCATGGATGGCATGACTCTGCCCTGTCCTTGCTCAGCAGCTCAGGGGTGCAGGGCACCTTTCCTGTCCCTCTCCCAACCTTTGTTTTTCCAGTAAATTCCACCCCCAACTCTATGGAGCTAGAGATGCTTGCACCAAGGAGCCGCGCCCTGGAAAGGCGGGGCCTCCCTTCTTTGGTCCCTCTTCCACCTCACACACCCAAAACAGACTAGAGTTTTGACAGAGTAGGAGGGAGATGCAATGATCATGTTCTCCGGGGCTAATGATGGCTCACAGAGCCTTCTCAAGTGTTGCCTCAACAATGTAGCTGGGGTCAAGTTCTTCCAGTGTGGAGCAAGGATCACCCGTCCTCAGGGCGGGCTCTTCCCTATTCCCCAGGGCTCACCCTCCCCAGCCCCACTTTTCTCCCCTTCCC